TCCTTCCTTCCTTCCTTCCTTCCTTCCTTTCTTTCTTTCTTTCTTTCTTTCTTTCTTTCTTTCTTTCTTTTTCTCCTTCCTTTCCTGCCCCCCTCTCTCTTTCCCACCCATCTTAAAAAGTGAACAATCTTCAAGACTCTAATCTCTTTCTCTCCCCCCCAAAAAAACACAGCAAGGGGAGGAATTTGTTATTTAGGCAAACCACGTAAAAGAAGGATGCCTTAAAGCTTGAGAACCGAAGCCTCGTTCTTGCTCATTTCTATCCTTGGCCACCTCCACTTAAAGCTTGGGGGAAAACAATAACGATTGGAAATTCGGGGACTCCCTTGCTTTAAAAAGCCGAACTGGCTGCCCACCGCTCTTTGGGGTGTGAAAATTAAACCCGTCTCTCCAACTGACCGTGGATGTGAACCATTTGGCTACCAGAAAGGTCTCAAAGAGCCTTGGCTCTTGGCTTAAGTCCCCTTTTCCATGTTATCTCTTGGGGCTGAGTGAGAGCAAGCGAGAGAACCAACCCGGCTTGCCATGCACAGGAGCCGCCTGACTTTGGCCTGTTTGGGTGAGAAGTCAAATATTGGGCCAGCCTGGGAGTTTGGTGGGCTGAATCCTCATTTCCCAGCGAAGCTTTCTTCTCCAAGCGTGAAGTCAAGGTTGAGGTACAGAAGCCATGGCAGAGCAGACAGGCTCAAGATGCCCCAGGATGGTCGATCGTAACAGCTGGCAACCCCCTTAGCCAATGTTAGGCGGTAATTAAATTGGCTGGCATCGTGAAGCACGCGGGTGAAGATGCCAGGCAGGTCATGCCTCTCGCACAAACCCTCCTGCGCGGAATGTGCCAGAGGGGTGTGTGTGTCTCTCTGTGTGTGTGTCTGAACTAAACTCAGCATCGCAGACACCCTGGAAATAGGGTTGATTTTTCAGAACGCGAGAAAGCCAGAACTGTCTCGCCCTTGGGAAAGGGACTCTGTAGCCCCAAAACTGTGGCTGCACACCCCATGGGAGCACCCACATATTTTTGCATCCTCTCCATGGGTGGAGGGGGAAGATGCCACCTTCTGCCCCTACCCTTCCTCCCTGGCCTGAGCCATCTTCCACAATGCACGACAGCAAATAATAAGAAAAGTGTCTTATAGCAAAGAGTCTCTCTGCGTTACAATAGATAAGCCCTGCCAGAATCCCCAGCTTAAAATAGAAAGCTGCTTTTGGGGGGCTCTTCCCCGCTCTCGGCCAACCTCTTCCTCCACCTTGCAGGCTGCCTGCCAAAGATACCTAATCCCAGGTCAGATTTCTTCTTGACCAGTTTAACAAGTGACTTCTCCCCCACCACCCCGGCAAAATCTCCCGCCGCTCATTTTTTGCTTCGTTCTGCTTTGCAACCAAGGCGTCCATCCGGACTCCGGTGCCCATCATCCTTCTCCGTGGTGAGGGAGTCCCGCAGCCCTGGTGGTTATCCGTGGAATCGGCCTCATCCTAAGAGAAATGCTCGCCTGCCATCCTTTGGGGCGGGAAAAAAAAAAGGGGGAGTTTGAAAGAGTTTGAATGGAAATTCCCCCTGATCAAGAATTCTCCGCCTCCTTTCCAGACCGCTGTCGGAAGTGCCAGTTTGGTGCCATCTGCGAAGCCGAGACGGGCCGGTGTGTGTGCCCCACCGAATGCGTCGCCTCCTCTCAGCTGGTTTGCGGAACCGACGGGAACACCTACGGGAGCGAGTGCGAACTGCACGTTCAGTCCTGCATCCAACAGGTCTCCATTGAGGTGGCAGCCCAAGGCAGCTGCAGTGAGTCTGGGGTGGTTTCTTTCTTTCTTTTTTTTTTCTTCCTTCCTTCCAAATCTAGGCTGCCTTTCGCACACACACCCTCCCCTCTCCCTTCCTTGGCACCCCATTGGCATGCACTCCCCTTCTCCTTGAAGTTCCCTTCCCTTCCCAAACCGGCAGCTTATAAACTAAAATAACGGTGGGAATCCGTGGGGCTCTCCGGGAGTTTTCTTGCAGACGTTTCATTGCCCTTGGACTTATATCCATTTTACAGCCCTCTCTAAGCTGTGTACAGAGTCAGCCTCTTGCCCCCCAACAATCTGGGTCCTCGTTTTACTGACTTTGGAAGGACGGAAGGCTGAGTCAACCTTGAGCCAGTCAGGATCAAACTGCTGGCTGCGGGCAGAGTCCGCCTGCAATCCTGCCTTCTAACCACCGCGCCTGTCCCACTAGTGTACCTTAGTGCCCTCCGTGCACACCAAAGTGCTCTCCGCTGATGAGGTTACCTAGTTTGGTCACGAAACGTCTGCAAGGAAACCCACGTCGCTCAGAAAGCACCAAGGACACCACCGCCACCCCGCAAGCAGTTCAACCCCGAGTTACAAATATTCTACGGAAATAACTCTTCCTCTTCTCCCGCCCGCTCTCTACAGAAGCCTGTGGAGCCACAGTGTGTTCCTTTGGGGCAAAATGCATGGATGGGCATTGCCTCTGCCCCCCTTGTGAGCAACAGCCCTTGTCCCGCGTCTGTGGAAGCAACGGCGTCACGTACAGCAACGAGTGCGAGCTGCGCCTGGCGGCTTGCCAGCAGAAGGAAGAGTTGGAGGTGGAGAAGAGGGGCCCGTGTGAAGATGGTGAGCCTTCCATGCCCAGCTGTCTCAACGCCGGTTCCTTCCCTTCTTCCCAGGCAGTCCTCGACTTACGAACGTTTCGTTTAAGCGACCGTTCGAAGTTACAACGGCACTGGGGGAAAAAGTGACTTACGTCCGTTTTTTCCACACGGCCGTTGCAACCTCCCCGTGGTCATTTGGATGCTGGCCTAACTGATTCGTATTTATGACAGTTGGAGGAGATTCCATGATCCCGTTTTCTGACCTTCGGATAAGCAAAGTCAACAGGGAAGATAAATTCATTTAACCGCTGTGTTACTAAGACTAACAATCACAAAGTTTAACAACTTTGCAGGAAAGGTTGGAAAAGGGGGCAAAATTTACTCAACGGCTGTCTTGCTTAGAAGCAGAAATTTATGGGCTCAATTTGTGGTCATTAAGTTGAGGATTACCTGTACTGTCTGAAAAAGAGCCGAAATAGAATAGAATAGAATTATTAATTGGCCAAGTGTGATTGGACACACAAGAAATTTGTCTTGGTGCAAATGCTCTCAGTGTACATAGGATAGGATAGGGTAGGGTAGGGTAGCGTAGGGTAGGGTAGGGTAGGATAGGATAGGATAGGATAATGGGAGGGGAGGGTGATAAGGAGTGATGAGAAGGTTAATAGTAATAGTAGTGCAGACTTTGTAAATAGTTGGACAGTGTTGAGGGAATTATTTGTTTAGCAGAGTGATGGCGTTGGGGAAAAAACTGTCCTTGTGTCTAGTTGTTCTGATGTGCAGGGCTCTAGAGCATCATTTTGAGGGAAGGAGTTGAAATAGTTTATGTCCAGGATGTGAGGGGTCTGTAGATATTTTCACAGCCCTCTTTTTGACTCGTGCAGGATATAGGTTCCCCATGGAAGGCAGGTTGGTAATAATCGTTTTTTCTGCAGTTACTCTCTGGAGTCTGTGTCTGTCTTTTTTTTTTTAATCAACAATATTTTTTAATAGAGGCCTCTTATGACATGCAAACAATTGAACAAATTAGACAAATCAAAATACAAAGATAAACGGTTGCAGGAACTGGGCATGGCTAGTCTGGTGAAGAGGAGGACCAGGGGAGACAGGAGAGCAGCCTTCCGATATTTGAGGGGCTGCCCCAGAGAGGAGAAAGGGGGTAAGCTATTTTCCAAAGCGCCCAAAGGCCAGACAAGGAATAATGGATGGAAACATAACAAGGAGAGATTCAACCTGGAAATAAGGAGAAACTTTCTGACAGTGAGAAAAATCAACCCATGGAACAGAAGTTGCCCTCGGAAGTTATGGGCACTTCATCCCTTGAGACTTTCAAAAGGAGACTGGACTGCCATTTGTCAGAAATGGTATCGGGTCTCCCGCTTGGGCAGGGGGTTGGACTAGATGACCTACAAGGTCCCTTCCAACTCTGATTATCTGTTATCTGTTCTCGCGTGCCAGCACCCAGAAGGCAACGTGCGCAACCCCATGGGCCCTGCGCATGCGCAGTCTCTCTGCCCCCTTGACCTGCACTGCGCCTCACAGCTGATTTGAGGCCTTTTTCGGCCTCCCAGAGGCTTTTTTCAAGGCTCTGCAGGACAAAATAGGCCCGTTTTGTCAATCCCTCTTACTACCAGAAGTGATGAAATGGGCGTATTCGACTTGCAGAGGCTTTTTTCAAGCCTCTGGGAGGCCCCAAAAGGCCCCAAACCAGGCCTCACAGCTGATTTTCGGCTGGCTTGAGGCCTTTTTCGGCCTCTCAGAGGCTTGAAAAAAGCCAGCAAAATAGGCCCATTTCATCACTTCTGGTATTAAGAGGAAGTGACAAAACGGGCCTGTTCAGCCTGCAAAGGCTTTTTTCAGGCTCCGGGAGGCTGAAAAAGGCCTCAAACCAGGCCTCACAGCTGATTTTCGGCTGGTTTGAGGCCTTTTTTTCAGCCTCTCAGATGCTTGAAAAAAGCCTCTGCAGGCCGAATAGGCCCATTTCATCACTTCCCATATTAAGAGGAAGTGATGAAACAGGCCTTATTTTTTGGGCCTGCAAAGCCTCCGGGAGGCCGAAAAAGGCCTCCGACCTGCCGAAAATCAGCTGTGAGGCACACGCATGCGCCGTGAGGTAAGTTTGCCCGCGGCTCACATGCCCTAAGTTCGCCATCATGTCTTAAGATGTAGAGATGCTCGGCTCTATTCTGGGTGACAAGCTACTTAAAAAAAAAAAATTCAAACGGAGGAATTTATTCCCACCCCCCCCCCCCCCCCCCAAAATTAAAAATTTATAATAATCTACCCTGGGGGGAAAAAAGACTTGTGAAAATCTTTTGATCGTGTTTTTTTTTTTTTTGAAGACTTTGGTTCTGCACTCTCCCAAAGAGAAAAATATTGGGCTTGGTTCTTTTGGGGGGTGAGGAGGGAGAGGGGGTGCAAAGAGAATCAAACTTGCTGGAAAATGCCACAAAGTCTTGCAAAAGGTGGGTTTGTGTGGGTAAAGAGCTGAGCCTGTCCAAAATCCCTCCTCCTGGGTTCAAATCCTGCATCTCTGATTCCAATTCCCCCCCCCACTTCAATTGGCAAGCATTGGAAAGGGTTTGGGGGGTGGCATGTCACCCAGATTGGGGTGGGGTGGGGGGCTGTACATGGGGGCTTGTATGTAGGAGCTGAGACGAGGAATTGGGGGGGGGGAAGGGGCTTCTCCCCCCCCCCCCCCCCCTTGTGTCCCTTCTTCCCTGCTGTGTCTGGGGCCCGTCCCCCTCCCCTCCCCTCCGCTTTCCCTCCCTTCCCCAGCTCTCTTTCCTTCTCATTGTCTCTTTAGCTGCCAATAATGGCTGGTAATAGGGCTCCACCAGGAGAGCTTTCAATGCTTTAATTTCACACTTCAGAGCATTGAGGGAGGTGAGGGAAAGGGAGACTGGCCTGGCTCCTTTTCTTTGTTTCTTCCCTCCCTCCTTCCCTTCCTTCCTCTTTCCTCCCTTCCTTCTTCTTTCCCTTCTATCCTCCCGCCCTCCCCCTTTTCTCTTTTTCCTTCCTTCCTTCTTCCTTCTCTCCTTCCTTTCTCCCCCTTCCTCCCTCTTTTCCCCTCTCAACTCCCTTTCTCTTCCCTCTCTCTTTTCCTTCCTTTTTCCTCCCTTCTTTCCCTCCTTTCCTTCGATCCTTTCTCCCTCCCTCCCTTCTCGCTCTTCTTCCTTCTCTTCTTTCCTTCCTTTTTCTTCTCTCCTTTCCTCCCTCCTTTCCGTTCTCTTCCCCCTTCCCTTCCAC